CCAAACCATTCCATGGTTCTGTGACTCTCTACTCACCTTTGTGTTGTGTGACCTCTTCACGAGCTCTTGTTTTAGATGGTTTTACAGAACTCTTATTTCTCATCCCACAGCAGCCCTGGTCTCTGAAGCGGGTCTCGTCAGCTGTTCACAGAGCTTTTGTTAACCCAGCGAACCAAACAGTCTGTCCTGAACTGCTACACACTCACACGAGGCACTTCTCACTTCACATCTGCCGCTTTCCTACCCCGCGGCAGGATGACGAAACAGCGATTCCCCCTCTGAAGCGGTCTCACCTAGGAAACCGTTTTCAAGGCAGTCAGCACAACCTCCTCAACATGAATCAGGCACAGGAAGCTAAACCTTCTCCAACAGCAGTAACTTTATTGCCCACAGGTAACGCAAACATTTTCCACACTTGCTGCAAGTCAGCTACTTAACAAGGTTCACAAAACCGTCCAGTGCGGAAACACCCCCTTGTTCCTTGAGCATATTCTCACTTAAGGTGTCGATTATTGCTCAACTCTGCAGTCTGGTTGTGACTGGCCACTCGGTCATGAGATATGTAGAATCAACCACGATACAGGACCTTCAGGAATTCAGTGTTAATTAGAAAATAGACCTGCTTGTAGGATAGAAAACAATCCAAAAAAACACCACTTGAAATTCTGAGTCCAGACTTTCTTTGGGCACAATACAGGATTCAACTTCAAAGCATAATGGATTATCAAGAGATAAAAAATACTGGATGCTGATTTTGAGAAATAACATCCCAGCACAGGCCAAGTGTTCACACTAAGGACACTGCAGTGTCTTCTAAAACCAAAAATACCAGAAACACAAAATGTCTGGTATTCCACCCACCAAAAAAAAAAAAAAAAAAAGAAGAGGCAAGGAAAAAAAAAGAGTGCAGTAATCCTCTCTATTAGTCCGAATGGCATGCGATTGCTGCAGGTCTGACTGTGAGGGCACTCCCTCAAAACAGGGATCTGCCCACTGCTCGCCAGCGACAGCAAACGGCCCTTTTTCTCCAACCAGGTCCTTACCGACAGCGAACTTCTGAAGGGAAAGGAGCAGAAAGTGTAGGCAGGGCTTCAGCTCTCCTCTGTGATGCTTTTCCTGCTGTTGCTACAAAAGCAGGGGACAGGAAACCTGGCTGGGATCTCTCCCGAGCGAACACTCCGGCTTTACCTCTCGGTAGAGGGCAGCTGCGCAAGCGTTAGATTTCGGTTCGTTGTAACTTTCTCCCTCCTACTCTGTCCAAGAAAGGGGTTTGAATTCAAGGGCAACAGTAAATACACACTTCTGTAAAGAGAAAAGTTTTGCTGGTTTAAAGGGAGTTCACCAAGAAAACCAGAGCGCCAACCAATTCCCGGGATATATGAATAAGGGGTAAAATTTCTGCATTCTGACTGGGGCGCAGCGGGTTTGGCATTCCGGTGGGAAGTAGCACTGGTGCACATGGATATAACGCACCAGACGCCATGTGACACAGTAACTAAAAATGACCTTGTGGGTATTCTCCACAGAGACATTCAGCAGCACAGAAACAGAGGGACCTCCCTTCCCTCGTACGCTATGAACTCCACTAACATAACACCTCAATTGCACTTGTCAGTGCCAGAACGATGCATATCTCTCACAGATGGCCAAGTTCACAAGCAAAACATTTAAACGAGAAATCGTTTCGTTCCACATTTATTGCAGATATTAAAAGATTAACAATACTACGTTTACTTACACTAAAAAGAAATGTCAGCTACTCAGTAACATAAGCAGCTACTCGTTACCAGATCAGCACTAGCGCCAGTGCGCACGGAACATAAACCAGCAAATTGCTCTGCAAGATTAATGGCAAAACCCAACCAAAAGACAGCAGACACACCACTGCAGTTAGTTAAAATGTTCACTGAAGCTTGCAGTCTTCATGGAAGAGAGCCTGGAACTAAAATAACAGAAAAGAAGCTAGTAAGCTTTCAACGAGGCAACGCATCGGCACAACAAACATTTCACATGTACAAGTTCTGCAACTTTCAAACCAGAGCTGCCTGCAAAAGCAGGTCAAAAGAAATGGGAATTCCTTCTGCAAAAGGAGCATACAGTCACCTCCGGGCAAAACAAGATAACGTGGCAAAGGGCAACCCACTTGAGCAACTGGAATCTCAGCGCCAGAACTGCCGCCGACACCCTGTCCAAAAGCAACGTTTGGCACAAGCAAGACAGACCATAACAGCCATCCAGGGCAGCAGATGATTTCCCCACGTTCACTTCTGTTCTCAAGACAGCATTCTACCCTGAACAGCCCTCCGCAAGGCCGGTACCGTTTTCCAGTCCAGATACCCACAGTTCTCCCGCACCGGACAAGTGTCGGAAGCGCAGCCCGAGGCGGTCCCAGGCCCAACACTCCGGGGCTGAATCAGAGCGGCACCGAGAGGGGCTTTCACTCTAGTGTGGAGCTGCACTTTGCCCTGTGCCTTTCTGCTAAGAGTGCAAGTACAGTCAGGAATCCTTCCACACATGCAGGTGAAGGAAGCGAGAGAAGAGGTGAACCGGAAGTTGGCAGGGAAATAAACACCAGGAGCAGCAACACTGGCAGTTTCGCCAGTGATACCAAATGAAAAGCCCAACCCTTTTGAGCGGGTCTGAGAAATAAATCAGAAGCCAAAAATAGCAGTTCCGAAGCGTCGTTCTGAAGCAGACTGCGACTGATGGACCTCCTTTCCGAGAGGCTCAAGTTCTACACTGTGCGCCTGCTCACTGGGCAGGACGACAGAGGAGCAGCGAGGGTGGCACCCAGCCAGGGACTCGGGTGAGCATACGCTGCCAAACCCTGCCAGCCACGGCCTTCCAGGCAGCCTGCAGTCCCAGATGCTCGAGGAGTGTGAACAGCTCCCCGTCCACAAGCGCTGCTGGGATCAAGAGTGATGACACCCAACTTTGTATCTGCAGCCTTCATGCTTCAGCCGCTTTGAAGGCGAGGACACGCGATGTTCACAGACCAGAACTACCAGCGTACTTTCCCCTGCCGCCCCGTAGAGCTTTCTTAGAGATTATGTGCTTCAAGACAACCAAAACCAAGATCAGAAAACTACACTGCAACGTGATTTTGTTTCTCACAGTTTCAAAGTCCCACACAGCAAAGAACAAAACCAGAACCCACAGTCATTCAGAAACTAAGCCCATTGTTACAAGCAAGGAAAAGCTGGTTGCTACAGAATGAAAGCGAAGGCATACCCTTTCACCCAGCAGGGTTTGGTGGAGAACGAAAGCAATCCTGGCGTTGAACCCGCAGGCACAGGCCAGCTGCTGACCCAGGAACATACCTTCTTGCACACCTGTCAGTTAGGAACTTGAGAGGCTGCCACATGACCACGGGCTGGGTGCTGCCAGCGGGTGCCACGCGCTCTGCGCTCCACACGCGGCACGGAAACATCACGACAGCGCTCGCTGCCGATGAGCAAAACACGCGTTGGCTCGAGATCACCTCCAGAGAGAACCGCGGCGACAGAGGTTCTGGGACTAGAAGAGTCAAGACTTAAGTTTCAGGGAGGTAACGATGGAGAAGGAGTACGCTAAAAAGCGTGATATGGAATTCTGTCCCTTCCTCAGTAATCCAGTCACGAATCCCTCCCTGACGTGCAAGGTGGAAAAGGTGAATGATGAGGCCTGGAGTGTCTGCGTGTGCCGACACGGCTAAGTCTCTCGCATCTCCATAACCGCTTCACCGAGCGGCAAGGTAACGCTCCTTGTCAAAGTGTGGTACCTTAATCCAGGCTTCTCTTCCAGCAAGTTCTGGAACAGTCCCTGAAGAGTACCAGCTTTTTGTGTTATCTCTTGGGACTTTTCAAGGACAGAACTTCTATAATGCAAGTGCTGAAGAGAAACAGAAATGACTCTTAAAATGGATGGGCTTCTAAAACTGATGATCCCCTTCCACGTGACTTCCGAACAACTGACTGCCAAGTGCTTCCTTCCGTATTCTCTGCAGACCCATGAACTGCACCCGCTCATGGCTCCGGCTTTGTGGAGAAGGAAAAATTCCTCAAGAATTAGCTGGAGAAGAGCTGGAAATTTGTGTAAAAACCCAAAGGTACATTTAAAATATGCACTACTTGTTCATTACAATGGAAACCCAAGGTTTTCGAGGAAGAGTATAGTGTTCTCAAACTCAGATGAACTCAGTTAGCCATCCTATGCTCCACATCTACAATCCTACATGAAATACGCACACAGGTAGAGAATCTTCTGAAAAGCAGTGTATGGAGGAAAGGAACCTGCTTTATGCAGATTCCAGAAGGAGATCAAAATATTAGCCCACCAGTGAAATGAAGGAAAATAAAATCTGAACTGCCTCGCAAGAGGATCTGAACTTGAGAAGATTCTTGGCCTGAGAAGGGATCAGAGCCAAACCAGGCTGGTCGTATTTTCCATGCTCTTCATTCTGGGCGGTTTTGGTAAGCCATCTCATCACAGAACAGGCAGACTTGGCCAAAGAGAGAGGTAAACAGACACTTCCAAGAGCCAAGTCGGTTGTTCCTCCCTCAGAAGTTGACATCCAAGTCGTTAGCTTGCACAACTATGCACAAGACTAACTGTCACCTTGGAAAATGTTTTGACACATTAGTGTTGGAGTGCACCACCACAGAACAAAGAGCTCTTCACGCTGGCACTCTGCCACACAGCTCTCACGCAGCAGCCTTTGCACGTCTGTGCACTTTCTAGCGAGCGAGTCTCTTACGGCAAACCTAGAAAGTAAGATTTGGGGTGATTCAGCAGTTCAGAGCAGCGAAACATGGGTCTGGATTTTCATGACCTGTTAAGCAGCCAGGTACACTCATGGAAACAGTAATACTTTCTTGGTAAAGGAAGACTTAAAAACCCAAAACCCCTGGTATCTTAACATTTGCAGGAATTCATAAACCAGACGTGCCCGTTCACATACCTACTTACTTGCTCTTTTCTGCCTGTACATTTGTATCATTCTTTGACGGAAAACATCAAATGCATCTTCTTTATTTTCTTCCCCTGCAACACCCAAGCCCTCCCCTGCAGATGTAGCACCCCTAGGGAGCAAAATGAATAGTTAGAACACACTGTTCCCATTACATGTGACAACGTGCAGCAGAGATGTAAGCAATAGCTTCCAACAGAGACACAGTTCAAGGGGAAAGTAATTCTGCTTCACGTGGGGGAGAAGGGCAGCAGGGGCTTGGCACCTGGCACACCAGATCAACTCTAAACCAAGTCCCACCTCCTGTTACACATGCAAATACCCACCAGAGGAAAACGCTTCTGCGGTATTACGGTAGCAGGGAAGACAGTCACCTAACAGCCTGAATTCCTACACGAACACTTGTATTAACCACTTTATCCAGGGGAGGTCAGATCCTCTGTTGAAAAGATGACAACAATCGCCTTGTTCCTTCCATTTAATATATGGCAGAAGTCAGAGACATTGAGGAATGAGTAGGAAACTGCACAACTGCAGAAAAGATGAAATTTTTACCACGGGAGCGTAATGCTGTGTGTGTAAAACTTCCAGCACCCAAAGCAGGACAAAACCTGCAGCTCCTGCCCTCCCAAGAAAAATGAGTCATTAACTCTCCTCTCTTCACCCAAATGTGCCAACAGAAGCAGACAGGTCTCAACCACATCAAACCAACTTTCTGCCCTGGAAGCTGGTGGAGAGGATGACCCAAAAGAACACAGAGATACAAATCATTAAACCCAGGCTATATGCATGGGGTACCGACATGCCGAAGCAGAGACTGATGAAACCTCTGCCACAGGAATGATCCTCTGTGCCAGTTTTATCCTCCAGGCCAGGGACATTAGTATTATCTACTAAAGACTTCACTAGTGAAGGAAGCAGACGCAGCCAGGATCACAGTGCCATCCAGGTAGGACCTGAGGACCTTCAGCTGAATAAAGAAAAGCGATTCTTACCCAATTTCAGTAATAACAGGTCCACCTAAGCAAAGCAGATTGTTGCGCAATTCAAAGAGAACATTCAGAGACCAGAGACAGAGAACATTCTACACAGCAAATTCAACTTTACAGCCCACAGCAGAAACGCTGGGAGCTGTTTCTTCTGCCGAATGGTCCTGGAGTCCCACCTGGCAGCTCTGCCGAGTTAAACTTTGGCGGTACAATCTGTCTGGAGCAGGCTGCTGCCACTGTACACCAGCTCCCTTGTACTTCCCAACAGGAAGAACAGATTATTGTTTTTCTGGTTACAACACAGCTCCTCTTCTAGATTACTTTCAGAATAAGATTAATACAAACAGGAGATAATTACCCAGAGGAGGGGCTGTCCCATAGCAATTCTGCCTCTGAATGAGTATTGGATTTGGGTTTTTTTTAAAGCACCTCTTGAAGTGTGGAATTGCTCAGGCCCATAGCTGCAACAAAGTAGTTCTCAAGCCAGGGAACAGCTCAAAAGACTAACACAAAACTCCGCTTAAAGTTTCTGGACCCATCGTTTCCATAAGGAGCCACCAGGCAAGTCTTTCCCAGTAACAGAAATAAAAATCTCCTCCCCCTGGCAAACAGGACTTGCTCTCCCAGCCAAAGATGAGCTTTAACTTCCCTAACAAAAAAGGGCTTCAGGTTTCTTTGGGTAAGAACTGATGAGCTTGAATAACCCCGGTTTAGGTCTCAGTGTTGCGTGACTGAGATACGCTCTACACTGGCACTGGAGTGTCTCCAATTATTGACCCACCCCCCCTTTTGCTCACAGGATGACAGCACGCACACATTTCAACAAGCCGTCAGCAGAAGAGCCGGCAGTCTTCAACAGGGGAGGAGAGCAGAGGCTGCAGATTACTGGGTGCAAAATCCTCAAACCTGGCGCTGCATCAACACAACTTGCAAGAGAAAGCAAAATGTTAAATTGCACTGGTCTCATGCCAAGGCTGTCCCAAAGTACTGTCCAAGTAAGAACAACTTTGATGGGAATATAAAGAGAGGTGCAGGCCATGAAAGTAATCAATCCTATGGAGTTGTCGCTACTCCACAGGAAGGGTCAGCAAGTTGTTGGAAGAGGTGCAGGAAGCAGTTTGTCACTGCTCTCTGCAGGTCTTTCCCAGAGTGACTCCAGCTGGAAACACTGGCTTTTCACGTACTTGAAGTGCAGTCTCAAAGATGGCCAGACACACTCAGAACGTGGGGGGCTGTCAGAGCAGACACCATTAAACTGCTCACGACTGGCTGTGCACTGAAACTTGTGCCAAGAGCTACAGAAGTCACTCGGCTGTTTGATCCCGACGAGTTTTGAGGCTCAGAACCAAGATTCCAACACCTGCGAACATGAGAGCTACGGGCGGAGCAAGGTGCTTTCTCACTGTCCCTTTGCTCCTGAAGAAGGAAATATGGAAGACATAATGACGGCCACTGGCCCGCAGGAAGCACTAAGGAAAAGGGAAAGCAAACCTCCAGAAGTATCCCGCCAACTAACGTGACTAGTGCTGGCCAAGGCACGAGGAGAAGACAGAAATCCCTGGAGAAAGACAACTGTTAAGCTACAGGCTACGTGTGTGGACGAGAAAGCTCATCGTATGGATTCAGTAAGAAGGAAATAGTTTCTGCCTCCTTACTCAGGGAGTTGAAGGAGGGATTACCCATTCTCCCTGCAGGCAGCAGTGGACACTGGCAACAGGAACTTTAAAAGACGAAAGGAAGATTCAAAAGCAAAAGTGTGTTTTAAAGAAAAAGCACACTTACCTTCTGGCAGATGCACTTACCTCTTTTCAGCGGAATAAATCACATCATTAGAGTGAAAATGAATGTGTTGTCTAAACCTAGGAGTGGTCTGTATGATATTCTGAAGTCTATTGATACTTTATGTACCTGGTGTGGTAGCAAGGAGATCCCCAGAATAATACTAGGTTCTACAAAAATACCCTAAATACACAAAAAAACCCCCAAAATCCCTCCTGAGGAACAGGGGCACCCATGTATCTTTGCACAAAGTGTCCGCACACTGAGCATTCACGCCGCAGCCCTTGGTGATGTCACTGGATGGCAAGAAACAGCCACCTTCCTTCCGGAGCAGACTGTGCCCAGCCTGGCCAGAGAAACGCACAAAATCTCCATGCTCAGCTTGGCTGAGGTCAGAGGCAGGAAGGAAGCATAACACTCAACGGCCCCACCAAGGTGGGTCAGATAAACACAGTCACTACTAGAATCCCAGCCTTTTCCAGAGCTGGCAGATTTCTGTGGTCTGTTCCCATTACATACACTTTCACAGGCTCTCGGATTCCTCTTCCACGTGTACCAAGGCCATGTCCTTCTTGCCAGCCCATCTTCTGAAGCATCTGGAAACCCACATTCCTGTTTGTCAGTTTCTTGTGTGAAAATTCTAAATCTTTTGGTTTCTGTGGCAAGGAAAACACAGAAAAACAAGCAGGGTTTTGTTATCATGTATTTAAAATCCCTTAAAACTGCCCTCTTACAAACTGTGTTTGAATTTCTGGATATACGGAGACACCTTCCAAGCAGCACGGCTCTAGCCACACAGAAAAAGTCTGTCAAGGAGCAAATATCTGCCTTGCCAGTTAAAAACAAAATTAACAGATTTATTTCAGGTCCTCAGACTGTCTAATTACATTATTAAAATAGCAAAGACCACACCATGGTCTTTTTAAATTACTTAAACATCTAGAACCATTTGGAACTAGGGCGGGGTTTCACAGTGACGGAGGGCCAACGACCGAGGGCTGAATCCCCGAGCCAACGCAGGGGCAGCCAGACACCTCCCCACTTCTGCAACATTACAAGGCACTTCCCAGAGACAGCACCGCCCGGGTTCTTATTTGGGTGGGTTGGGTGGTTTTCACAGAAGACCAGCCAACAGTGCTCTCATTGTGAAGTGTTTCACTCTGACACAGGCAGTTAAGAGACACCAGGAGCCATGGCTCTCCTCAGATTTAGTCCGGTCTTTCCCAGGATCAGGCTCTTCAGGTTTTAATCGGAATTCCGGACAGTAGCCCTTTTTCAGAGGCTTTCTCTGGCAGAGACAGGTGACTCTCAGAACACAAGGGCAGAGCGGAGGAGTTCATTACCTTTTTCTTCTTCGTCACTGGGCACCCACGAGGCCTGTCATAAGCGATCCTGACAGGTTCGTGCACTGCAAGTCAAACCAAAGACAAATCCCGCTGTAAAGAAAACCCATTTTAATACAGAACTCCAAAAGTGCGTCGCAGTGGGACTCTAACTCAATGCCTTGGCCTGTGGCCCAAAATAAAAACCAGCAAGGGAGAGCAAAATTTAAAAAAAAGGAATGGTACGACCTTTTTTTCTCTCCACCACCAAAAAGGTCTGTGGTACCCGCACGTGTTTAGTTTTGGCTGTACCACACCAGGAACACACTGATGGGTGATAGAGTGTAAGGACTTGAAATCTTTCCTTTCCCTGAGCTTCTGTAACACTCTGACAGAAAATTCAGACTGGACTTAAATGAGGTTATTGCACATCATTTTCACAGGATCACGGAATGTTTGGGTTGAAGGGACCTTAAAGCCCCCCCAAGCCCCACCCCCTGCCACAGGCAGGCACACCTTCCATAGACCAGGTTGCTCCAAGCCTCATGCAGCCTGGCCTTGGACACTCCCAGGGATGGGGCATCCACAGCTTCTCTGGGAACCTGTCGCAGTGCTCCCCACCCTCTACGGGAAGAATTCCTTCCTGATGTCCCATCTCCCTCTGTCAGCTTGAACCCGTCACCCCTTGACCTGGCACTACAGTCTCATACCATAAGCGAAAACTGTCACTAATTAAAACCACGATGCAAAGAAAAGGCATTTGTCAGAGCAGCTGCAGAACACACAATCAGTTTTAAGCTACTTATCTCTCAATTCTTAGAGTGTCATGACCCACCCCCACTGTGGCCATACTGACACCATCTGACAGACCAATATGAAGCCTCAATACATCTGCAGTCCCATGCCTGAGCCTGGTAATCATTCCACAGATTGGTAAAACAGACCCTGCAAGAACTACTACTCTTTTTTTAAGCAGCAGAAATAGGGCAGCGTTCACATGCACGTAGAGAATATTTGAGGAATGAAGTTGGACACAAACTTTGCTGCTGCACTGTACCAGAACTGTCACACAAGTTATTCGCATTCCCCTTCGTCGGTCGAGTGAACCTTTAAAGCCAACGGCACGTTCAACCCTCACATTAAGCAACGTCATTCCTTTAGCCAGCAACAGTCAGTAACGGAGTACCTAAAAATCGGGAATGCTGTACTCGTACCTACAGAACCTCTTTTCAGTAACACTCACCTTTGGGTTCTTCTATGAGGCAAATCCTTTTAGATGCAGGAATCATACCAACTTTCAGGGACTTGCTGCTGATTCGCTTGCGAGGAAAGAGGGTACCAGGAGCAGGAGTTGATGCCTGTGTCGACAGATTTGGTACAGCACCATCAGATGATGTGGCTAGCTGCCTTTCACCTGCTTCTGCTGAACTTTCCTCTCCTGCTCTGGAAATCATCTCTGCAGATAGGCTTTCCACACTTCTACCTGCTGACACGGCATCCTCTTCTCCCTCCTCCGCTTGCTCCATTTCCATTTCTTCCAATGGCTGGGAGGCATCCTCCTCAAAATCAGCTTCTTCCTCATTATCTTCTTCCTCCTCTTCCTCCTCCTCCTCCTCTTCCGAAATATCCAGATTTCTCTCTTCAGGTTTAGCACCTTCCCCAGCATCAGCTGCTTCTGACACAGTGCTGAAGTTGATAGATGGGCGTAACTCGTAGACTTTCATTCGGTAAAATTTGAAAGCAGAACTGTCTCGATCCTGCAGGAACCTGAGCAAAAATGACAGTGAAAATAGTGTCAGAGAGATTTTCTGTAGCCAGCACAAAGCAAGCCATGAAAAAGAAGTATCTTGATTTTTTGACTGGTCATTCCAGGGGTGTTTTTGTAGAACTGCAGGATTCCCCAGCAACACATCCTAAAAACAGCAACCATGGAATCATGGAGTGGTTTGGGGTGAAGTGACCTCAAAGCCTCCCCCAGTGCCACCCTCTGCCATGGGCACGGACACCTTCTACTAGACCAGGTTGCTCCAAGACTCATCCAGCCTGGCCTTGGAAACTCCCAGGGATGGGACAATCACTGTCCTCAGCTCTTACCAACCACTTTTTATCAGCGCCTCTCAAACCACGTGGCAGAGAATTCAGGGCAATTACCGTATTTTAGGCCACCATAAGCAAAGCCCCACTTAAAAAAGTGCCAAGATTGAAGACACTGCACAGAAGCTGTGTCAAGATTACTTAAGATAGAAAGGAAAAGATACAGGTGTCATCTAGGAGAAACGTTCGTGTTCCTAGATGTTTCAGATATTCACCACTAAGGGAGGTGCTGAGCAGAACTGGGAGCACTGCCCAAAATCCTCTGTTCTGCACCCATGGAGTGAAAGCATACGTCGCGATAAACAGCACAAGGAAGTGTCCCTCTAGTAACTGTTTTGGTGGATTTGAGGTTTCCTCCTTGGCCTGTCTACACAGATAAACGCGGTTACTCACCAGAGCTCCGGGTTATCTGCACTGTTGTCTATGCTGAACTGCTCGATTTCGGGTCCTACCTGAGCAACGAACTTGGCGAGTTTCTCTGCAGTTTCCATCGTTTTAGCATCCACTGCAAGAAACAGAATGCTCGTTATCTGCAGCTTCGGACCAGAGCTGCACCGCTGGAAGGCCAGTGCTGTTGAGAACCACCTACTTCAGCAAAACTCGTGAATTTCAGAATTTCCAGCAGAACATTCTACACAATTCTTTTCTCATATAATTCAAAATCTAATCTTGAGTCTTCACTTACCATCAGGAAACTGAGAGGACACCGGTGGGAAAAGTTCAGGTGGTGCTACTAAAGCCTCAGAATCTGCCCTTTCTTCGACTGGCAGAGAGACCTCTGAGCCAGCAGCACATGGCGAGGATGAAGTGGTATCCCGGGAAGAACTCTTCTCGGACAGGCTGCTTTCTGATACAGGCAGCTTTGTCTGGGCCAAGCCTCGTAGATGCTCGTCTTGGTGCTTCAGCACTGTACCAGCCAAAAGCACAGTCTGTGTCCCTGTGGTTGCTCTCCTCAACTTCCTTCCTCGAATACCATGTTGCGTAGTAATTCCAAGACTTTTTTTTTTAAATAGCCTTCTCTTAATACCTGCCACTTTCCTGGCATACAACATGGCCCTGACCGATTCTGTTGCAGCCTCCTTCGGTGTCCTGCCCTCGCCGCCCACATCCTTTCCAGACGACATCCGCCTCTGCATCTCCGCTAACTTCAGTCTGTAATACTTGTATTCCAGACTGTCTTCGTCAGACAAGAACCTAAATAAAATCACAGGAATCCAATGAAAGCCTAAGCTAAAAGCACAGCTAATTGCAAATTCTCAGGGCAGAAACCCAGTGGCAATCCCTGCTTTCTTCCAGGTGCGTGCACAAGTCGCGACATCGTTAGCCTGCGCAGGTTTTGCCACAATAACAGCCAGCTCCTCTGCAGCGGCAGGTGAAGCGTGCCAAGCAAAGAGACGATGAGTTTTGACATGAATCGTTTGGCTAGTTAATTAATCAGCTACGCTGCAATTCACACACAAGGAGACACTGTCACATTAAACGATTGTTACGCTTGGCAGTGTCTCGGCTCTCCTCTTCCAACATCACGCACAGAACTAGAGCCGTGAGCCTGTTACCGCACGTTTGTATGAACCGCGTCGGCTTACTCTGTCCACCTCGGAAATGGCTTTTCACATCCTGTACCTGGACTGACATACAGCCATCATCGACAGATCCAAAGGACTGTGAGCTACCAGACAAACCAGAAGCAACAGGACAACTTCCAAGGAGATCAGGGAGTGTAATGAGCTGAGGACACTTTTGTTAAAAGTCTGGTCAAGCACACAGCAGGCTTTGATCTGACCCCCGCTGGGTGAAGTGCGGAACTGAGCTAACGGTATTCCACACAGCCACAGCAGGGCAGGGAATTAGGACAGGCTGTTTGAACACACCCACCAGTATTCAGGACGGTTCTTCCGAGCGTTTCTCTCCTTGGCAGTCAAGGCTCCTGAAACAATGCTGTTCACTAGCTGCTCGATTGTCTCCACAGCTTTGCGGTCAGCTCGCTGCGGGGCTGGAGGAAGAAATACAGTGCAGTTACTGTGTTATTCTGATCAACAGAATATCAATACATCATCTTTGTTACTCTGACACACTGGCACTTGCCATTTTTTCAACATAATACAAAAAAGGCTGTGCTTAATACTAGAACAAATGGAGGAAACCTCAGGGACTTTCTGTCTTCCCAGCTCAACTCACATTCCAGCACAGTTCATTATGAGGGTTGACAGACCTACCCTTTGCCATTCCGGGCAAGTTAAGCCCTTCAGAAGGCAATTACTGCACCAAAAGGACTTTGTGCAAAGTAAGTATATTTGAACAGCACTCTGAAGGGGCGAGTTCCAAATTATTAGCCACTCGGTGTCAATGCTGCAAGAGTGCCCTGCAAAAGTATCTGAAGTTATCTGCCCCATGAGGACAGTAACGAGTCAGAATGCTTTGGAGAGGATGAACTAGATGGCCTAATGCAGCAGGGGAGATACTCCTACAGACCCAAACCGTATACATGGCTTCAGAGCAGCAGCCCGCAGCCAAGGAAAGGGGCAGCAGTAACATCTCCTCCACCCCGGCTTCTCTGCAGACACTCACGCTGTGCCATAGCCAGTTAGCGCGTGGTCCAGGACTCCCTACCTGCAGGAGGTGAGGCTGGAGGGTAGGGCAGCTGCGGCACGAGGGGGAAACCCTAGATTTAAAGTATAAGCACGTGCAGGAGAGGGGAGGAAGGAGAAATGCCAGCTGAAGGCAATTGCCACAACAGATAGCATTACCTACCTGCCTTAGCGCTGCCAGGGATTTACATGGAATCCCCAGAACTAGGAATTCCTGACCCAATGGAACCATAGAACTGAAGATAAAACACTAGTGACAGGTAAAGAGAGGATGCACTGCACAGTTTTCTCCCAACAGGTCACTCACGTTTAGCCTGTGTGTCGGGAGAGGGTGTTTGTGGCTGTTCTGTGGACCCCGTTTCATTTCTTTTCATCTGAATCGGGTAGCCACTCTTCTCCAGCCAAGCCTTCAAGTTTTCAATGTACTCTCTTCCAAACAAGGTTGAGTCATCGAAGTTTGGGAATAGTGTTGGTGCTGGAGCCATTTCCTGAAGTCCTACAGCTTCAAGTATTTTCTCTTGCCTAAAAGCAGATGCGAGTGCGAAGGTCTGCCCCAGAAGCGCTAAAGACTTGCGACACAGAGAAACAGTGGTCTCAAAAGCACTCGCCATTTCCCTTGGATTACCAAAACCGCTCGTCTTAATGCTTAATTCGTAAGCATTGCAGGCCATGAGGAGTGGTGTGACGCCTTTCAGGAGGCGATCCTGCAGCCTCATGATGTATTTATCAAAAGGTTTTATTATTTCGAAGAAGCAGTTCTTTGTTTTCACAGCCCCCTTGTCCAACAGCATATTTAAAAACTCATTGTCCACTTTGGGAGTTTTCAGAGCAGCATGCTGTAAACTCTTGATGGTGAAGAAACAGTAATCCCTGTGTTCCGGCTTTAAGGAGCATTTGAAGGAAGCGAGCATCTTTGCGCAGGTTTCCGTCTCCAGCTCGAAGAGAGCTCCAAAGAGCCGGGAAAACTCCGCATCATTCTTTATTGCATGAAACCCAGCCCATTTTATAATTTCTATTCCAAATGTTGAAAAAATGTCCGATTTGTCCACAAGGTCAAAATTGAGGTTTCTGAAAACATGGGCAGGCTTCGGGAGCCTGAGAATAGGTCTCTGGGTTGTTACAGCGGGCCTCTGATTAGGTCGTGGAGGCAAATTCTGGTTAGGGCGCTGGACTGCCACAGGCCGCTCGTTAGGTCGTTCAGCAGCTTCTGGCGTGTGATCAGGTTGCCCAGCCGGCTTCTCAGCAGGGCCCAGCTGCAGCTTTTTAGCATTCCACTTCTTTAGGGGAGTTCCGAGATCTCCTCTGAATACTTTTGTTTTAACAGCACCCCTCGTAACACGCTTCCCTCGCAGAGCTCTTCCCCTGCCAATGCTGCCCCTCCGTATCGGGGGTCGGAACTCACTGGCAGACTGAATTCCAAAGTCCACATCATACTCCTGATTTTCCATGTTGCCATATTCATCTTCCATGAGTCCTGGCGATCGAAAATCACCTAAAACATCTGGAGATCTAAAATCAGTTTCGTGTGGTCCAGTGGATTCCCAAGAGTCAGGAGGGCCATAGTCCTGGTCATGAGAAGCCAGGCCCCCATACTGCCGGTCACGAGACGCTGGGCGGCCAAATTCCCGGTCGTGCGAAGCTGGATGCCCATACTCCCGGTCACGAGACGTCGGGCGTCCGTACTGTTCATGGTAATAGTTATCCTTCCTTATGAGAGGACTAGGAGATCTATAGGAAGGTCCTGGATAGTCATCTCTAGGGTCTTCACTCCAATCATCGTGCAGGTCGTTGTCATGAGCATATCTTCCATCATCACGAAAACTGGCTTCGTATCTTGGTCTTGGGACTGGCCTGGAACGAGCTGCAATGACAAACACGGGAATACACCAACGTGCCGCACACAGGATGAAAAAAGAACTTAATCGACACTTCTAGACAACTACAAGAGTCAATGCCCCCAAACTTCTAACAAACCGTACGCATGTCTAACTTCAGGATATTCCCATTTGCTTTCTTCGTACACTGAATAATTCATGGTAATCAACAAGTGATTAAAAATGACTGAACACACACAACAAAACTGTTCACTGAAATACCGCTCTCACTAAAGCTGTTCTAGCAAGTTCTGCCACAAGCTCCGTTTTCTACCTGCTCACAGCTTTTGCCATCTGGGAAGATGCTCACGTTCTGCTCATAATGCTCCTATTTCTCATGTAAAACCAGCGACGGCGCGCACACTCTCTTTCCACGTGCCGTGTCAGTCACACAGCTGAGCAGATTGGATTTCCTACACGCTCACACAATTATCTAAGATAACGCTCCAGTCAGAAATGCTAGAATCTCCCGAAGTATCCAAGAATTCATATTCCCTAATCCCAGGAATTTAGCACAGCAAGCAAAGAGCACTTGAACACCTTAAGTATTTAAAATAAACCATTTCTTCGGCTGGCACAACTTCAAGAAAACAGACGAGATCCCGTTTTAAAGCCCTCGATGTCCTGCAAAGGGAACCCCTGCCGGTTTTCTAGGCATCTTATCTATCAAGTTTAGATGACACAAGGATTTGCAGATTATGGTTTGCGTATGTTCACGAGATTAATGTCCTGCTTTTAGCTTTTTCTCCAAAACTAACATGGAATACAAAGACCCAAAGGCTTCAAACACACTCCTACGCTTATTTAACTTAGTGGACATCGTCAGAATTCCATCCTGCAGCGGTGTCTCCAAAGACCTCCCTGAAACTGGAACCGACTCTCGGATGAAGCCCGAGCAGAATTCCTTTGTTTGAAATTCGTTTTTTT